TCCCTGTAGAAAATTTGGGGAACAAAAGTTTTCCAGTTTGAGCCACTTGATAGAACTTGGGGGGTGGTGGCTGTGTTGTCATCCCCTACTACGGCTTACTAGTCTACATGTTGGAGCTTAAAGGGCCTTACCTACCAGCGCCATCAGTGTCAGGGTGGAACCTAGAGGGGGAAAAAAGAGCTGGAAAGCCACAGAAGATCCACAAGGTTCCTCAGGATTCTCAGCTGAGAATAGCTTGCTTCATGACAGCTGAGACAAGGAACAAGCTGACACCGTTGAAAGACTTAGGTGATTCGGCCCTCCTCCAAGTCCCAGAAAAAGGAACCGCCATGCCTAGCAGCAGGTCAGCAGGCTTTTCTCTATAACCTAAGACAAAACGCGTAGTAGAAGTTGCCCATTGCAGATGCCAAGAAATTGACTGTTGCATTGGGAAGTTTTCAAAAAGGAAGACTCCTGATCTTTGACCGGCAGGTCTGGCTCATCTCTGAAAAACATAGACATGACACTGGTGTGCCAGTCAGGACACTCGACAAACATGCTTTCAATATTCAGGATAAGTTAAATACTAACAGAAAGCAAATGGAAAAAATAATTAAGATCAATGTTATTAATGTTGAGACTATTAGCTAATATTAACATGTTATTCTTAAAACGTGATGAATTGTGCAACCTGTGTTACTGAACCCTTGTGCGCTGGGGCCTCCCAGCTCCAACAGAAATTTTGCAGATATAATGGTCAACACAGAGATCAAATTGTAGCATGTACACCATCATTTTTAACCTGAGTGTCCCTTAAGAGTCTTCACATAGCTATGAAGACAGTTCATTCATCAGAGCAAGGAGACAAGCAGACTTGTCTTTAAACAAGGTCAAGAAATAATGTTTTCACAATTTTTTTTTTTTTTATTTAGACTGAGACTGAAAAGTAATTTTTTGTAAACTCTAGATTTATGGAAAGATTAAGAGAACTAAAAACAAAAGCAAGAAGACAATACAAGGTGAACAGACCATAACTTTATTGAAGATATACTCAGCTACAATTATTACAAAAAACTATTAAAGGTAATTGTGATCCATAAGGTGCAGATTGCAAACTTCTGCAGCATGATTACAGTATGAATGAATTACATTTTATGTCCCTTAAAGACAGCTGCAGCATGTGATGGTAAATATTTTATTGTCCATCAAATTATATTTGTTATTCGTTCTACTTGATTTTAACCATCTTTTCAGTCAAACTATTTACAATAAAAATGCCTGCAATTTCCAATTCTTGTTCACAAACATTTTTCTTTCCAACTTGCTGCTGCAGTAAATTCTGAGTGCATCTACAAAGCAATTAAAGTAGTCTGTGGTTGCCATTCAAATAAAAGAGGGAAAAACCCAAGAACTTTATTGGATAAAATTTATTTTTAAGAAATGTAGTTAGCTTTGACAGAACTTAATTTTAACTGCTAGTGGAGTATACTACAATGACCTCTAGATATTTGCTAACATAATTCAGATTGAGTTACAGTTGATATTTAGATTACATTTCACGGTCATGAACTGTAGTGTTTTAAGTTTTAAACCTAGTATGAAAGTAAAGAAATTAACTTTAACTTCTTGAAAATTAGAGCAATTGGAAAAGGATCAATGTCAGTAATTAAGTACCAAAAATCAAAATCCTTCTCGATTTACTCATATAATAAATACAGAGATTTCCATGAGAATGTTTTTGTAGGGAACCCCACCCAAAACATACAAACCCAGAACACTGTCAGGCAGAGGCAAGTGTAGTATCACAGCAGACCACGATGCTATTTGTCATTTTCGGATTACGTGGGCTGCTGTGACTGGGATACAAAGATTTCACTTTCTATACCGATAAATGCATGTAGCATAGTTATGTCATATGCAGTAACATAAACCCCACATTTTCCAGTTTATGGTTCTATATTTGCTTACAAGGAGGAAAACCCAAACTCTGCAACATACATATAAGCACAAGATCTTCAGGTATGTAAAAGAATGCAGTTCCATTGATTAAAATGACACCACATCAATTTGCACTAGCTGAGGATCTGGCACCCCATCCCTGGGCCACCACAATATTCCGCCCTAGCACAGAAATTCGTTCTTGTCCAAGTTCTGTACTCTGCAGTCACAACATACTATTGTGTAATGAGACTTAAAAATAGTAGGCTTTTTTTCTGTATGGATTTTAGCAGCATCAAGCTGAACAAACACTTAAGAAGTTGCTACTGGGCACTCAATATTCAGACTGAGCAGAGATTTAGTTGAGGTTGACCAAATTACTAGGGGCTGTCTTCTCGCAAAAACTACATTATACCCATAATATGTTGGTTTGTTCAGAGATAATTACTGGAGTGTCAGAGGTCATTCTAATTTTAATTACTTCACATAACAGTAAAATGATGTAGCAGAAAAACAATAGCTTTAAAATACAATCAAGAGTTGTTACACATCTTTGTTGTATTTTTCCACATACAGTAAAAATGCCACAGACATTACAAATGACCTATTTAAGTTGTGCAAGTAAATGACACATTGCAGGCATTATAATTATCTTTTTCAAATTCAGTAAATCAGAACAGCAGCAAGGCCAAACCACATTTTTACTCTCTGTTAAGCATTTTTCCCTTGAAATGAGGTAAAGCATGGTACCAAGTGCAATGCTTATTTGTGCTACATGAACAGAACAGCGCAAAAAAAAGCCATAAAAATAAAAACGCAGCATAGTTAGGAGGACTGTTTAAAGTACAGTATAACAGGACTTAGATAAAAAAAATAAGGTTCATGCCAACTAACCCCCACACTATTTATGATGAGCCTGTGTGGTTGCTTTTGAAGATGGGTTGCAACAGTCCGCTTACACTTGTGCTTATAGCATGTCAAGTGATTTCTATCCCAACCTTCAAATGATCAGATTTAGGTCTTTAATAGCATACACTGTCCAATATCAAAATCATATCAACTGCAGGGTAAAACACACAGATGTATAACATGGAAACTAATATGAATTTTCTATCTCAAAGGATAAAAAATATTTCAATGAGGTCACACTGGAAAAAATTACGGCATTTAAAACGCATTTAAAAACGCATCAGCAGCAGAAACTACTTTATAGTCAGCCACTACACATTTCAGATTTCCAATTCATAGGCTTTATCTAGTAACAAAGTGATCATTAAACTATTCTGAAACACAGAGCAAGTTCAGTTAATTTTCTTTGCATCAAGACACTGTAGCACTTTACTGCTAACAATTACCTGAAACCCCTGAGAATCTATAACCTTGTAACAATCAGGAAGAAATTTTAGGCGTTCAAAGACTAACTTAAATTTTAGTTTTTCATAATGCAGTTAAAACTACTTAAGACTTTCTAGATGGCCTGATTTTATCTGCTGATTGATGTCTGGCCAGAAACGCAGAATTGTTAACATTAGTCATCATGTATTTTCTCTAAGAAACTTCACTCCTACCATGAAGAAAGAGCTATAACTTAAATCGGTGTCTTTTTTTTTTTTCCAAACAGCTAACTCAAAGCAATTTACCTTTGAAAATTTAGACTGCATGTTTTTACTGTTCCATCTCATTTACATTTGTTTTATACACATCAAGACTTGCAGGTCTTATACTTCCCTGTTACATTTTCATGACTGAAGTACCAAACAAATGCTAGAACTTTTTATAAGCTAGTATTTTTAATTCTCGGTCTTACTACGGTAACAATGCTGCTTTCAAATACAAGAATGATCCTTCTTGCAGAATGGAAAATGACTGGGATAGAAAATACATGAACTTTTGAAAACTGTATTTCAGAAAAGCTTAATGTCTACCCCTTGTCACTAAGGCTTTTTTTTTTTTTGTTAAGAAAGCAAGAGCTGACAGGTTTTGTTTTGTTTTAGTGTGCATTTGTGAGGAAAGGAACAGGGTTTAAAAGCAGGAAATACAGTATTTATTTGTAATTTAATACATAAGACACAGCATCAAGTTCAAACTATTGTGCTGGAAAACATTAAAACACCTTGCTCTGCTTTCTCAAACTTCAAGCATAATTAACAGGGCAAAATTGCAGCAAACCTCTACCGATATTGGTGGGAATACGAGACCCACAGCTTTTTTAAAAGGTAAATTAAGAGGTATTATAGTTACAGTGCAAAAAATTAAAATTTCAAGCATAATATATAAACATAGCACCAAAACAGAAAAAAAAACAATGCATGCAAAAAAAAAAGAAGGAAAAGAAAAGAAAAAAAGAACTGAGGTATTTAAGTGAAGAGTGCCTACAAAAATCTAATTAAAGAAGTATAGGCAAAGCCTAAAAAATAAAAGTATGATTTCCCCCCCACCCCCAGTAGACCAAAACACCAATGCGCTAGTTTCTCTAAATTAAGGACCTAAATCACAGATGTATCAAAAGTACGGCAGTTATATCTCAAACATCAACTTTCATGTTATTTAACAGCACAGCTTTGGTAGGTGAAATATGCATGCAACTCTGAAAAGTACAGTAAGAAATTTACGTGGAAATATCTCTAAGTGTAAAGGTGCTCTGTTTGTTAAATACGTAACCAATTGACTATAAAATCTGCAGCATATTTTAGGTGTGATATGTCTAAGGTTATTTTGTTAGAGTGACAGTCTGCACTGTGCAATTATTCATTACTGTTTCCAGTATTGGAACTATCTAGCTTGCAGGTTTGTGTAAAACTGTAATTTTAGCCAAAGACCATATTTTGTTTATGGTATTAAAAAAACTGTAGACTAACCACCTCCTCAGAATTGTTAAAAATAACCTAATTACACATATATGAATACAATTTCTATTATAATCCTGTAATAGTAATGAGTTGTACTGTAAATATAGAGCTGTATCATTGTAAAATGTTTAACAAAATGAAGGGAATGTAAAACAGTTTGTTCCAAAAAAGATCAGAAATTAAAGATTATTAATGAGGGTTTATTTATTTTTAAGGCAAGAACCTTTTTTTATGCAAGACTATGTGGCATAAGGAAACTGAAGTTTCATTCTACCAGTATGCCAGCCATTTCAATTAAAATCTGTCCCTAACAAATAAGTGCAATAATGATTGGGAATGCCATCTTAATGTAAAAAGATGACATGGAGAGAAAAAAGAAAACAAAAAAAAAAAAAAAGAAAAAAAAGGAGAATACTGGCACACTTATTCTTTCTTAAACCCAATCATCCAGTACAGTTTATCAACTGCTTTATGACTGGCACTAGTGCACAGATTGAAGAATTTCAAGGTTACTATATATAAATCTAGCAACTGCATTAGGCGTAAGCTCCCTGGCCTTCTAACACTAAGCAAAGCTGTACTGACAATAAAAGTAAACCAAAAAGACCTGACAACAATTATTCTGAACACTTGCTAAATGTCATCATTAAAGCACTCTCGTGATTAAACAAAGCAGAAGTGAGGAAAGAAGACAAGATTGTGTTTGCGCAAAAAACTATAACTACAATTAGTTCCAAAATTTTATACATGTTAAATGTTTTGTCATCTATTCCATTATCAAACAAACTTTAAATTCTGTCTTCCAATTTGTTCCTCTCAACATCAACATTTTTAAAAATTTGCTTTATTTGTATGTGTTTTTTTTCCCCCATTTTATTTATTTTTAAGAGGAGTCTCAGCTGTTTGGGACCTGAGGTTGATTTGCTTTGAGGCTTCGTAGTGCTCTTCTTGCAGCTGCAGATTTGGCAATCCTGTAGCTTCTGCCAACACCTTTAAACTTTCCCTTTCCTACAACTTCCACTGTTACTCTGACCTTTCCATCGTAAGTTCTTTCTGCAGGACTGCAAAAATATACACAAGAATTACTTACTGCCTAGGCAAGTTAATGTGAAACAAGAGACCTACATTCTCTTTTCTACAGAAGTTACAGCAGTATAGTTAAACAGAAATCATTACATTTCTCAGAAAGTTATGCAAGGAAAAAAAATAAAAATCAGTGAACACAATAATCACGCTAGCTGCTTAGTGCAAAAGAAATTAAAAGTAATTAGTGACATTTAAAAATCCTCAGTAGCTTATAAAGCACAGCTTAAAAACATTTTATGGCAACGTGTACCAAAGGAAGTGTATTCTTACCTAAATTTGGCTGTCTCTGGCTCCATCTCCAGCAGCTCTCGCACTGGGGACCGGGGCACATTAGCAGAAAATTTTTCTATTTGAAAAAAAACCCAACCAAACAAACAAAAAACCCCAACAACAAACAAACAAACAAAAAAAAAGAAAAAAATTAGCTTTGTTCTCTTCATAGCAGATGGCACTTAATTATTAATTTTTTTCTGAAAGCTGACAATACCTATTAATGGCCTCATCATTGGATAGTACACTTGCCAAACCATTTCCAAAGACATTCCACTATCCATATAAATGGCACCAGCAAGAGACTCAAATATATCCCCCATGGCCTTTGGTACTTCAATGTCTTCCTCTTTTTCTTCATCTTCTTCAGATCTTCTGAGCTGTTTGCAATTAAAAAAAAGCCAAAGTGGGGGAGGGAGAGAGAAGGGGAGGAGAAAAGAAGAAAACAATTGCTTCTTTTAAAATAAAACAAAGATCTTCAGAAATGTAAGCTCCCTTACATCCTATCCTGAGCTGCTTCCTTTAAGTTTTTCATTGACAACTTTCCACAGTGAAATTGTTCTTTTATTCCCCAATGAAACCAAAGTTGCTGGATATATCATTTTTCAAATGTGAAAAAAAAATCCCAAACACCACTGCGTACAGAGACCTTATATGCTTTGTGAATTCCTCCTGTAATAATTCCGTAGGATTTCACCATGGGTCTGTTTTTTCCAATAAGAAACAGACTTGGCTCTATCAGTTAATACTAGAAAGCTACGCATAACAAAGGAAGAGTTCATACATTAAACACCTCCTAGAAGGAGACTTTAAAATCTGTAAGTCCAATCTCTGGATGAAAGTCAAATGTACCTTTCCTTACCTCATTTACCCCAGAAGACAAGCATGAAACAAGCATTAGTAAAATAAGCCATTAATAACTGATTAATAATTAATAACCAGCAACATCACACTGAACCAACAGGCACACTTAGGTATTTTTTAAATGTAGCAGGCAGTGTTTTCTTCTATGCTACTAATTTAAGACAATAGTCTAGTCTCGTTATTAAAACTAAACTTCCCATCTATGTCTTAAAGATGTTGAGTTAATCTAATCCTTTACCAAAAATACCTCAAATACATATAATATACATTCACCTAAGACCAAACAAAGTAACCTGAAAACAAAGTTTTTGACCATTACTCTCCTCTGCCTAAAGAGAAATAAGTTTGTCGGTCTTTTCTCCCAGCAGCTACCCTCTCACTCGTTTGGCCCCTATTTGGGGTTTAAAACCTGATTCAGTTCTCTTAAGAGTCACCATAATACTTCATAAACTAGTCCCACCCAATATTTCTACCTAAAATAAATCAAACAAGAAGTCAGACCTGATGTGTACACACTCCAAATGGGAATTTTGATGTTAAAAAACAAATTCAACTGTTTTGAATAGTTTATTTCATACCAAGTGCAAACTGAAGCACTTTTGAGTTATACTGAAATAACAGGAGAGAGAAACTAAGAGCTATAAGGCAAGGGACAACAGATGTTTCAGGAGTGAGATCTGAAAAAAGAAAAGCAGATGACGTGGAGACACACATGGAAACCAGTCTAGCTGGCATGAACTGCAGAAACAAAGACTCTTGCATTAACTCTGATTAAATAAGAGTTTTCAGTAATTCAGTGCCAGACCAAGATAGGGAGCAGGCGCAGGGAGAGTGAAACAAGAATTTTATTTGAAACAGCTATCACACAATTTGGTTGCAACTTTGGTGGAAGTTTCTAGTAATCTTTCTGCACACTAGCAAAAACTGAACAGAGCTAAAAATCACTTCTATGAGCTCTTAAAATAAATTTTTAGTCTTTTCACTCATATTGTGAAGAAAACAAGACACATAACAGAGTCTGATCTTCTGATGTAAAATAATTTATATTACCTAAATTTCAGTGACAAATTTCTTAGTCAATTGTCTTAGTCAATGTATGGATTTCACTCTGCAACAGAGTACAAGGCCTGTAAAGTATTTTGATTCCCAAGCTTTTAAATTGTGTATCAGAAAGAAGAAATTACTAAAGACAGAGACAACATGTTTATTTAGTGCTGGAGTATTCTCAGACAGAATATTTTCTAAGAGATTGGTCAGTTTTTCAGAAGACAAACTATTAGGGATATCTATTGGATAACATTTTTAAAGGAAGGATAATGAGAAAGTCCATTTCTTCCAGGACTCTGATTAGAATTTGACTCACAAGGCCCTTGCTCTCATACATTTTCTGAGCAGCTTATCTAAATGAGTTAGTTTTAATCCATTCTCCAGCAAGTAGATGTTCATTATCATTAGCTTTCCTGCATAGCACAGATTGATCTCTGTTTGCAAGTCTTCAGCTAAACTATTTTTCAAGTGGCTTATTTGAAAGATGCATATAATGTTTCCCTGGCTAGCAGAGAGAAAGCCTTTAGGAGCATGTCAAACACCTGTGAGTACAGTGCAATGACACCTGCTCCAGCAGAAATCATCAGACAAAAAACAGTGGAAATCTCTGTCAGTGTGCTACACTAAATAATCCCAGCATTGTGCCAAAGTAGTATCGTTCATGATGTTGCATGGATATCCTATCCTGAGTCAGCATTATGTGACTTAGTAACTCTTCATCACAATTCTATGGTACAGTAGTGCTTCCAATCTGACAGTGAAGAAAGCGTTTCCCCCCCCCGCCATGTTGTTCTAACAACAACACAAAAGCAAAATGGTGACTGAAATCAAGTGTCACAGAAAAATCTACAGACAAACTAGTTTCAATTTAATTATTTTCTGAATGTTCTTCTTGACTTTATCCTTTCTGAAGATTGTATTTTACTTTGCATATTGCATGCTTTATTACTGGAAGCCTGCTTCTACGGCTGCTGTGTGCATAAAACTAAAACATTACAAAAATGCACATCACACTAAGAAATCCAGTCACATGCTTCAAATCAGATACTGAACACATTTCTTCTACTTCCACTAACCTCAGAATCCATTCCTTGCATTTCATTCTTTTCCATTTGAAACTGCACAAAGTCATCAATAACATGAAACAGTTCAGGAGAGACAGCTTTGAAGTACTTGTGGTAGTCATACTTTACAGCTAATGATGCAAAAATGGTATTATTGACTAGAGCAGATCGTAGGTCAGTAAGAACTCCTGGAGAGTGTTGCCGTGGGTCTTCATAAAGGTGCTTGGTTATGAGGTAGTCCAAAATTGCATCTCCCAGGAATTCTAAGCGCTGGTAACAATCTTAAAGCATTGGAAATAGAAGAATGTATAACACCACAATTAAGTTTAAGACACACATTCTTTCCAGGCCTTTCTGGATAAGAGGTTTGGTACACTGCCATGCAAATTCCACAAACTAACCAATGCTCACAGAAGACAATCTGTTTTTTAGAACAGGTATCTTTGTGTTTAAAGAGATTGTTATTGAATTATTAAGAAAAAAAAAAAATCTCAGAAAAAAACAGGAGGAGTTCTATCTAATAATAAAGCCACTTTTGAACCCAATGTTAATTTGTCAGGCTAGCAAAACACTTGTGTTCGTAATCAATTAATGCTTTTACTCAAGATCTTCACATTGTGCTGAGAAACATCAGAAAAGTAAAATCAAGAGATTTCACCCGCAGGCTGATCTGAAAACAAAAACAATTAAACCTCCAAAAAATTAATAAAGAAATCAATGTATTAAAAGCAGGGGGAACATACAATCTCAGATTTTTCATCTAATTTGCCACACATTTAGATTTCTCAAAAAGCACTGAACAGATATTCCCATTCAGAATGGGTCTTTTAAATTGGAAACTAAAATTGCCAAGCCTTTGCTGTTTGGAAAATTGACAGGGGGCATGGGAATGGAGAGCTACGGAGGTCTATTTTTAGAATATAAACAAAAGCAAAAAACCCTCTTGAAAGCAAACAGGGATAGGTGGGTAGAGAAGGAAGACAAAATTACTACAAAAGTAACATGAGAGTGAAATGGCTTGTACTAAGTTGCTTTTATAGCAGCTGAAGCGCTGCCAGATCTCAACTGCTAGCTACTCCTTAGAGAAAAAGTTAGAGGTAACAGCAATTCACAATTGTCTTACTTGGTAAATAGAAATGGAATCAAAAGTTTCTGCTACCAACAACGTAATTTCATCTAAACATTATGCCTCAAGGTTTCTGTTTGTTAGTTTATATATATAAACTAACTATATAATATATAAAAAGGAATCATCTACCTTCTGTATGTTTTGAAATATTTGTAAAAA